TACCCATCCCCATCAGAGGCGCACATGGGTGTGCATCCCTCAAACTACGTAAATATTAAAAATTAAGTAAAAAAAAATATGACAGGGCAGCAAAGCCACACACACACACACACACACATAAGTACGTGGCATCTTTGGGAAGACCCTTCCTCATAAAAGGAAGAGAACGCGTCCCTCAGACTGGGCACAGAAACAGAACTCACAGGGGCCAGCTTTGTGGTGCAGTGGGTTAGTCCTCCACCTGCGGCACAAGCATCCCATATGAGCGACAGTTCCAGTCCCAGTTACTCTACTTCTGATCCAGCTCCCTGCTTATGGTCCTGGAAAACAGTAGAGGATGGGTCAAATCCTTGGGACCTGCACCCATGTGGGGGACCTGGAAGAAGCTTCTGGCTCCCAGCTTTGGAGTAGCTCAGCCCCTGGTCATTGAGGCCATGTGGAAAGTGAACCAGCTGATGGAAGTTATCTCCCCAGAGCGCCCAGCACGGTAGCCTAGTGGCTGGGGTCCTCGCCTTGCACGGGCCGGGATCTAATATGGGCACTGGTTTGTGTCCTGGCTGCTCCATCTTCATTTCAAGCTCTCTGCTTGTAATCTGGGAAAGCAGATTAACATTTATTTTGTATTTTATACAGAACAACCTGAAGTCTGCGTTATGACTTGACAGTCGCCCAGGGGTTTACAGTGTGCCCATCTGCACAGTGTGGTTCTGGGGTTTGGGGGTCCACACAGACACTGGCAGGCGTCTCGAGGGGAGACGGGCGCACACTGGGAGTGTATCGTAACCCTTCCTTACCGAAAAGGCAGTGGAGCATTCTGAGTCGCTGGAAAGCTGTGCAAGTGAGCCGGGCTTCTACCACAAACACTGTAACGGGAGCACCAGGGGAGGGACAGGGCAAGGACACTGATAAATAAGGGGATGAGGAGGGAGCCTCACACTTTTTAAATGCCCCAGGGCCTGAAACTCAGACAGTCCAGTCTAATCCTGGTTCATTTCCCTGTTCATGAAGAGCTGGTACCCTGGGACAGACCATGAAGATGCCATGCGGCTCCTTCCCGAGCCCCTGATCTAAGCCCCGACATACCAAAGCAAGGGGGAGGTCAGGGGATAGTGGCTTTATAGCCTATGGGAGTAAAAAGTTTAGTTCACGTTATGCACTGATAAAAAGCCAAGTGATTTGGAAAGACCACAGATCTGCTGAAGCAGGTCTCAAGGCCCAAAGCCTTGGGACCCTGCACCCACTTGGGAGACCCAGAAGAGCCTCTGCCGGGTGCTGCCTTGGGGGACTGTACCCCAGGCCTCTGCCCTACAGCCGCGGGCCGCAGCCGGCAACCTTGGATCGCTCCGAGGCAAGCCCCTCCCCCTCAGCGGATCCTTCCATCCTCCCCCGCGCCACACACCCCTCCCCCAAACCGATCCCTCCCCCAAACCGATCCCTTTCCCCTGGGGAGGCCTCCGGGTCTGTCCCCGCCCCCCATCCCCTGCTGCTGACCCCGGAGCTGCGGGGGCGCCAACTGGGAGGAGGGGGAAGGAGGGGAGGAGGGAGAGGGAAGAAGGGGAGGAGGGAGAGAGAAGGGGAGGAGGGAGAGGGAAGGGGAGGAGGGAGGGGAAAAAAGGGGAGGAAAGAGGGGAAAGGGGAAGGAGGAATGCAGTAGGCTCCAAGGGGGGCCCAGAAGGGCCGCCCACCCGCCCCCGAGCTGGTAGCTCCAACCCGAGGTGAGAGGCGCAGGGGAGGAACTAGAGCTGGGAGGAGAAGCAGCGGGGCGGAGAGAGGCCCCCCAGGCTCCCAGGGTCGTACCGAGGGGTGGGCGCCTTCCCTTCCATCCTCTCCGTCGCTGGATAAGGGCCCTGACCTCGCTTCCCTCCCCCTTGCCCGCGCTCTTGCGCCAGATGTGGCTGTGGGGGAGAGGCTGGCGGGGGCCCAGCTGGCAGCGGCGGCTGGTGGTCGTCTCTGCTTGCGTGGTCAGCGCTTTCTGTGCCAGCCAGCCAGCTCACCCGGCCTCGCAGCTCAGCAACCCCTCCAGCGGCTTTGCTGGATCCGAATCAACACAAACTCAGGGCAGGGGGTGCAGGCTGGTTGCAATGGCTGGCTGGGCAGCCCATCCTGGGATGGAGGCTGGGGGACCCAGTGGGCAGAACGACCCACCCAGGCTCCACATCCATCCACAGCTGACCTGGGCAGGGTTGCACCGGCCGGGCTCCACCAGGGGAGCACACAGTAGGTGCTTTAGAGAGCCCTGCAGTCTTCCCTTTTTCTTCCAGCCCCCTTGGGCCACCAGCCCGCCAAGGCTTCCAGGAAGCCTGTCTTGGTGCTGGGAACTGTCAGCTTAGTCTCCTGCTGCTGCGTGCCTGGCCTTTAAAAAATGTGGGTGTGACCCCCAGCTTACGGGGTCAGGGCCCAGAGAGGAGCTGCCCACCCCCACACCCAAAGACACCCTAATCCCCACACAGCACCCTCCGAAGCCTGTCCCCGCCTCTTTGAACTCTGTCAGCTCAGGCAGAGGCTGCTGGGATCCCTGGCCCTCCCACCCCAGCCAGGAAACAGAAAAATGGAAGGAGGGAGGGAGAGAGACCTGGTTAGGGTCACCCTGGGCCGAGGGCACAGGCGACAGATCAAGCCTGGAAAATGCCAGAGAACACCCACCCTGGGCAGATCCCCCCTCCCTGCTTCTCTCTAGAGCCAAGGATCTGGGCTGGCCTGGGGAGTCCCGCTTGTATTCCATCCATCCTCTGCAACAAAGGCACTGCCCACCCCCCATCCCCTTCCCCCGTCCCACCCCAGGCCACAGAGGAAGGCCGGAGGCTCTGATCATCCGCTGGCTTCCCAGGAGGCAGCTGGAAGCTGGCCAGGCATCCCGCAGGCCTGGCACTGGGGTCTCAGTGGGGCCGGTGCCTGGCAGGCAGGCTTTGCAGTCACAGGCCAGGAGTTTTCAGAGCAGAGTTTATTCAAACTCAGCTGGACAGGAAACTTGGCTCCCGCTGACTCACTGGACTGGGATTCGACCTTATTAAGAAAAGAGCAGAGCGGTGGGAGCCGGGGAAGCTGGGTTCCGGGCCAAGAGCTGGCCTGGGTCCTCCCCTCTCATCTCTCCCCCTCCCCATCCCCCAAGCTCCAGGAGGAGAGGGGGCCCTGCTTTCGGCACTACAGGCCACTGGGGTCCCCCAGCCTCCAAGTAATGCCCTCACCTCCTCCTGCCCTTCCCTGGCGGGGGTACCCTCTCCTCTCCCGCTGGCAGGCAGCAGGCAGCAGAACCCCTGGGATTCCAGGCAGCTCAGGCCAGCGCTGTGGGGGGCATAAGGGAGGGGACGCTTAACCCTGTAGGTCCCAGCATTGGCTGGGCCAGCCTGGCTGCATGAGTGTCTGGTTGAGGTCCAAGCCAACGGGTCCTGGGGTGAAACCCCTCTTGGCACTGGGATCAGATACCAGCTAGAGAACTGTGGGTGGGTGCAGGCTGGGGTACCTCCCCCAATTCCCCACCTCCCACTCTCCAGCCACACTAGAAAGATGCATGCTGGAACCCTGAAGTTGAGTGGATGAGGATTCCCCCCTGGCCAGGATGGGGGTGGGGTCCTAGGTCCTTAGGGAGTGCCCAAGTTTGGCAAGATGGAGGGGGCATATGCGGGGACCTAGTAAGAGGCAGGTGTCCCCCAGCTGGTTTGAAAGCCATTTCTGCCTCAGCCCCCAGGGACAGGCTGTGGGCAGCAGGCTGAGCGGAGTCACACGCAGGGTCACTTCCTAGGTAGCTCCTCTTGCCATGTGCCCAGAGGACATCGTCCTCTGGTCAGATGTGGCATGGCAGAGCGAGGACCCCCAGCTGAACTGCCCCCCAGGAGCTGGCCAGTCCTGCTTCTGCCCTCCCTTAGCAGCTGTGCCTGCCACAGGCCTGACAGTTCCTACTCCTGCCTAACTTCTTGGGTCTCACTGACCCCTGTGTGGGTGCCACAGTACTTCCCAGGCTCCTGTGGACTTTGGACATGGGAGGAGCAGCTCGCTCACGGGATTTCACAGTCCTGGTCTTCTAGCCCATTTCACAGACTCAGAAGACGAGGCCCATGAGTGTGCCAAGATCAAGATGCTCGAACTGCAGCATTTTTGTGCTCAGGAATGGGTGTGTGTGTGTGTGAGTCAGGGTTGCCTCTGGGGTCCAGAATTAGGAAGTAAACTTCACACTGGAAGACCCAGAAATAAGTATCTCTGGTGTTGTGGCATAGCAAGTGAAACCTCTGCCTGTGGTAACCTGCTAGCATCCCATATGAGTGCTGGCTGCTCCGCTTCCCATCCAGCTCCTTGCTAATGTGCCTGGCGAAGCATCCACGTGGGATGGGCCCTTGCATCCATGTGCAAGGCCCAAGAGAAGCTCCTGGCCTTTGTGGACATTTTGGAGGGATGATGGAAGAGTCTCTTTTTGTGTGTGTCTCTGCTCCCCTCACTTTGTAACTCTGCCTTTTAAATAAAAAGAAATGAGGCTTCAAAGAAAAGTACCTCTCCAGGGTTGGGGAGGAGGGAGGTATAGAGGGTCAGTGGCCCCTTCCAGCCCAAGCAAGAAGCCAGAGGGGTTGCAGCCAAAGGAGAGAGGGGGCAGACTGGGGGGAGGGTGTAGCTGACACCCCCTTTTCCCTCCTCCTAGCCCTGTTCTGCCAGCCCGGCCAGATGCCTCACTAGCCCCCCCACCTACTCCCGGCCTCTCCTCTTCTTGCGGGCCTGCGGCTTGGCTGGGAGCTCAGAGGACGGAGCGAGCCCGGCAGCTGAGGGGGCAGGCCACATAGCTAAAACCCGGCGGACCATAGGGCCCCGCGGACGAGGCCCCAGCGGGCGGACCCCGCAGCCTCCCCCGCTCGCAGCCCGCTGCTGGTTCATTCAGAGGGGGGAAGCGCCCGCCCAGCGGCCAGCCAGTGCGGGGCCTTGGCCATGTAAGCCCCCCTCGCCTCCCCCGGCGATCCTGCCCGCGCGCGCGTCCTCGAGCGCTCCTTAGTGCGTGCCCTGCAAACCGAACCTCGCGCAGCCCCGGGCACCGCCCCTGCCCTGCCCTGACCCCCTGGCCTCGACATGCTGTCATCGGAGGAGCCGTCCCGCTCGGGACAAGGCCAGAATGGACAGAGATAGAGCCAGGGGCAGGCGAGGAGCCGTCGTGTCGTCGAGCCGGTGCCAAGAGAAGCGCGCTCAGGGACCCGTCGTCCCGTCCTGGTCGGTGCAGCCGGCCTCTGCACGCGGACCATCATGGCTCTGGCCCCCGCCGGCAAGCAACTGGGGGCCCTGGTGTGGGGCGCCTGCCTGTGCGTCCTGGTGCGCGGGCAGCAGGCACAGCCGGAGCAGGGCTCAGACCCGGCGCGTTGGCGGCAGCTGATCCAGTGGGAGAACAACGGGCAGGTGTACAGCCTGCTCAACTCGGGCTCCGAGTACGAGCCGGCCGGACCAAGGCGCGCCCAGAGTGGCTCCCGGGTGCTGCTGGCCGGTGCGCCCCAGGCCCAGCCGCGGCGCAGCCACGGGAGCCCCCGGCGTCGTCAGGCGCCGACCCTGCCCTTGCCCGGGCGCGTGGCCTCAGACACGGTGCGCGGCCAGGCGCGGCACCCGTTCGGCTTCGGCCAGGTGCCCGACAACTGGCGCGAAGTGGCCGTCGGGGACAGCATGGGCATGGCCCGGGCCCGTACTTCGGTTTCCCAGCAACGGCACGGGGGCTCCGCCTCCTCGGTTTCAGCCTCGGCCTCGGCCTTCGCCACTACCTACCGCCAGCCACCCTCCTACCAGCAGCAACAGTTCGGCTACCCGCAGGCGCCCTACGTCAGCCAGTACGAGAACTATGACCCCGCGTCTCGGACTTATGAACAGGGCTACGTGTATTACCGCGGCGCTGGCGGCGGCCTGGGCGCAGGGGCGGCGGCGGTGGCCTCGGCCGGGGTCGTCTACCCCTTCCAGCCGCGAACGCGATACGAGGAGTACGGCGGCGGCGGCGAAGAGCAGCCGGAGTACCCGGCACAGGGCTTCCAGCCGGCGGTGGAGAGGCCGTACGCGCCGCAGCCACAGCCCTCCGACGGCCTGGACCGCCGCTACTCGCACAGCCTCTACAGCGAGGGCAACGGCAACGGAGGAGGAGGCTTCGAGCCCGTCTACCCCGATCCCGGACCAGGACCCGAGGCTGTGCCAAATGGAGCTGGTGGAGGCGGCGGCGACCCCCGCCTGGGTTGGTACCAGCCCTATGCCAACGCGCCACCCGAGGCCTATGCACCGCAGCCGCGCGCCGTGGAGCCTCAGCCGCCTTTCCGCGTGCTGGAGCCGCCCTACCTTCCCGTGAGGAACTCGGACTCGTCAGTGCCCAACGGGGAGCGCGACGGCGCGCAGCAGGGCCGCCTCAGCGTGGGCAGCGTGTACCGTCCTAGCCCGAACGGGCGTGGTGAGTATGGGGACCCCGGGCTTGCCCTGTGCTGCAAAGCTAACACCCTGCCAACCATCCCAGTGAATGGATGCAGGCTCCCACAGTGCGTGCCACCTCCCTGCACATTCATGCTCCTCCAGGGCCAGGCGCTGGCCAGGTCAGCCTGGGGAGGAACACGGGCACTGAGGTGTTGGGAGCCCGAGGGGATGACCAGACTGTGCCAGGAGGTACCTTCCACATCTGGCTCTTGGGTCATCTGGGGTCATCAGAGCACACCCCAACACACACACACACACACACACACGCAAACATTTCCCCGGGTGAGGGGTGAGGCAGAGGGGGCTGCCCCCTCCAGGCCAGAGTTAATACAGAGAGAAGGAGAGACAGAGATATTTCATCCACAGGTTTACTTGCCATGTGGCTAAAAGTCAGGACTGAGAGTGGCGAAAGCCAGGAGCCAGGAGCTTCCTCTGGGTCTCCTATGTGGGTGCAGGGGCCCAAGCACTTGGGCCATCCTCTGCTGTTTTCCCAGGTGCCTTAGCAGGGAGCTGGATCAGAGGTGGAGTAGCCGGGATTTGAACCGACGCCCATGTGGGGTCCCCCGCATTGAAAGCCACAAAACTGGCCCTGTATTTGATTTTTTTTTTTTTTCATATAGTGTCTTTAATACAGCTTTTTTTAGTGGCACTGTTTTTGGGGTGCCTTCTTAAGTGTTCTGCCTGAGACTAGGCAGGCAGTAATGTGGCCTGAAGGGTGGTGGGGCATCAGGCAAGAGGGCCAGTCTGTGGGTGAGGCCTGGGACGCCTGTGCAGAGGTGGACAGCCCACCTCTCGCTGGCTCAGGACTCCCTTCCCGCCCCGCCCCCCCGGGCTGAAACAGGGGTGGCCATGGTGGTGGCTGCTTCATGATCTGTGTCTTCTGCTCGGCTCCGAGTGCACATGCAGTCTCCCCACTCCTTCCCGTGACTCTCTGCTCCCCAGCTTGTCTCGAGCCCAAATGGCCAGGGTTGCGGGGCAGATAGGGCTGTTGAGGGTACCCCAGGATCCTTACAGCTGCTGGACCCCAGGCCAAAAAGAGGTATATCCAGGGGCAGCTACACCAAAGCTGGGTGCTGATCTCACTTGATGAACCCGATGGGCTTCCTGGAGGAGGTGTCCACCCATCTGCAGCTGTGTACTGGTGTGTACTGGCCCTGCAGGCTCAGGAACAGTTCACCCCAAAGGGACTCTGCTTTTGCAGGATTTTTTTTTTTTTCCTTCGAATGCAAGCCCTGGGCCTGAGGCTTGGCTACAAGCGCCGTGCTTTGTGGGCAAAGAGGGAATGAACGCTTCCAAGGTCCTGCGGGAGCTGGCAGAGCCAGGCCTGGGCCTCACGTCCGGGCTCTGGGCCAGCAGGCGTCCCAAGGCCCCTCTTTGGCCCGTCCATACTCAGGTTTCTAGGAGCACCGGGAGAGAGAGCCAGGCTGTGCTGTGGGGGCGCCTGCTTGGGCTCCATCGGACGGACGACGATTGGTGCTCTGGCGCTGGCCCTGGTGGGGGTGGGGGGGTGTTGCTTCCTGGAGGAGGAGGAGATATCCAGGCATTCTTACAGGGACCGTGCTTAGCAGTGTCCCGATGACCTAGTTACGGAGGCACGGGGTGTGGGGTGACAGCAGGACGGGGGTGCGGGGACAGAGGGGGAGCACCCTGGATCCTTAGTGCTAGCTCAATGCCATGGAAAATCCCAGCCCAGAGAAGGCCTAGCCGCTCCCCTCCCCCCCCTTGGGCCAAGTGTGGGAGCCTGGAGTGGGGGGGCTTCTCCTCCCATGGAGAGTGAGTGACTTCATCGCTCCTGGCCGTACACCCAAGGGCCTGAGGCCTGGTTTTTGGCAGCCGGCGTGAGTGTGGGTGTGGGCGCGTCCTCACAACACCAAACACATGCGAACATCGCCCACGCATGTCTGTCTGTCCGGCTAATCCAAATGCCTTTCCCCAGCGAGGCATCCTCCCCTGCAAAGCGGCCTCTCCCGCGGCCCACCGTGCCGTGCCATGCCCTGCTGGGTCAGGAAGGAAAGAGGCCCAGAGAGCCTCAAGTCCTTTGCCTAGTGTTTGCTTAGCAAGATCCTGGCCGTGGGCCCGGGAGGGCCCCCTTCCCCTCAGCTCCAGCCCCTGCCCGCTTCCCACCCCCCTCCCCGGGTCACCCTTGGCTGCCCTGAGCTGGGAGGGTCTTAGTGCTGACAGATTTCCTCAGCCCCCAGAAAACCACCATGTCCCAGCCATGGCCTCCTCCTCCCACCCCTGCCTGACTCACTGGCCTGGCTGTGCTGACCGAGCAGCAGGAGTGGAGTGGGGTGGGCAACTCTGGTAGCTGCTGTGCCAGCCTTGTCCTGACATGGAGGCACCTGCACTTCCTCTCCATCCCAGCCTGCCCCCATAGCTTCTCCATGTTACATGTGAGCATTCCCAAGGGGGCCTATGCTGCCTAGATCTTCTCTGTCTCTGGGGGTGCACCTTCTCCATCCTGCCATCTGTACCAGGATCACGAGTCCCTGAGGGTGGCCCTGTCTGTCCTTCCCCCTGTGGGCCTGGCCTTCCCTGTCACTTGCTCTGGGAATGGTTGTATCACAAGACAAGGGTAGACACATCTAGGGAGCCAACAGTGGCCCGGCCTGAATGCTCTGTGGGGCTCATTGGCTTGTGTGTGTGTGTGTGTGTGTGTGTGTGTGTGTGTGTGTGTGTGTGTGTGTGTGTTTCTTGTGCCCTGTACTGAGGACACCCCGCCTCAGGGTCTCAGTCTCCTTTCACTGGCAGCTGCCGGCTGGAGTCCTGCCTGCTTGCTTGTGGAACCAAGAACATATGGAAACCTGGACAGCAGCAGTGGTGGCTGGACAGGGCCTGCAAGGGCGGAGGCTGCCACACCTGCTTCCACTTCCTGTGCCCGGCATTCCTGCGGGACCACGGGCAGGGCCCAGAGGCCCAAGCAGAGCACCTCCTGACCACAGGCAGCTGGTCTTAGGGGACTTTGGTTGGGATCCAGGATAGTGCAGGATAGGAGCTGAGCCTGGGTCTCTCTCCCTGTCACTGATGGCTGCCCCAGGAAGTACATGTGTGGGTCACCTGGAACGCTGGATTTTCCAAACTCAAACCTAATCCGCTTGCCAAAGAAAGGAGCTTTGAATCACGCTCACCACAGCTTGGTAATGCACTCTGCTGTCACCCAGGCAGAAGGCACCCTGCGAGGGGCATTTGGGCATGTGACCCCAAGCCAGGCACAGGCAATTTGGAGATGCCCTCACTGGGGACTCAGCCCAGCCCCTCGTTCCCTACACCTGCCTGTGGGCAGGGACAGTTCCATGAGACTGGGAACTGTCCCTGCCCACAGGGAAGAACTTCAGGCTGGGCAGGAACATCCTTGAGAGAGAGATGTGCAGAAGTGGTGACAGAGGTCTGGCCTGGCTAGGGTGCTCACATCTCCAAAGGGCAGCCTGGGCCTGCTCCCTGACCGGCCAGCTGCCTCCTGGGCCACCCAGTGAGTGGAGCGGCATGGCCACAGGCCTCCCTGCTGTGTGAGGAGGGGGTGTGGGAGAGTTGGATGTGCAAAGGAGGATGAGAGAGCAGGAGCAGCGTGGGGAGGGGGAGCATGGTGGCGGTGAAGGGGTGGTCAGCACTGACAAGATGGACTCTGAGGCCTGAGTTCTATAGGCACCTAGACCCCATGGAAGGTTCTGGACCTTGCTTTAGTGTCCTGGTAGCTCCACTGCCTAGGCCAGGATTGTACCCTTCCTGTTGGGAGCAAAGCTGCTGACCGCTGGCCGACTCCCCTCTGTGCTCAGGCCCTCTGGGGTGGGGGAATGTCTTGATTTAAGAATACCCCCACTCCCTGCCTCTGGTCTATGTAACACCCACCTATGGGTGGGGGAGTTAAGGTTTTTTTTTTTTTAATTAAAGGTCTGTGTATTTCTGTTGGAAAGGTAGATTTTATAGAAGAGAGACAGAGAGGAAAATCTTCTATCCTCTTGGCTCACTTCCCAAATAGCCACAATGGCTGGAGCTGAGCTGATTCAAAACCAGGAGTCAGGAGCCTCTTCTGGGTCTCCCACGGGGGAGGATGCAGGATCCCAAGGCTTTGAGTCAGCCTCTGTTGCCTTCCCAGGGCACTGGATGGGAAGTGGAGCAGCAGAGAGATGAACTGGTACCCATATGGAATCCTGGCACCTGAAGGAAGAGGGTTGTTAATGGAGCCACTATGCTGGGCCTGGAGTTCAGTGGTGGGGGCGCCAAGGACTCAGGGAGCACCTGGACCCCACTGTGGGAGAGGGGCTGGCTGGGCGCCCACAGGTCTCCAAAGCCAGGTGGGCCTAGGGTCCTGCTGCCTCCAGGGTCCTGCCTTCACCTACCGGGGACAGGGGGCAGTCATGCCGAGGTGGCTAATCCTGCTTGCTGGCTGGCTGTTTAGGGGATAGTGGTCACTTAGGAAGTGAATCATCGGACCGAGATGTACAAGGAAGAAAAACCAAACCACAAGGGCACCTGTGGCTCCCTGCATTCCTGGAACAGTTGTGATTCACCCGTGGCCATTCAAAATCTCACCCAATTGACAGACCTCAAATCTGTGCATTTGATGGGTAGAGATTTTTGCTTTCAAACTCATTATAGTCAACAATGACTTGTGTGTGTATGGGGTACTGGACAGGGGTCTTTGGCCATGGGGTCTTGCAGGACTGCGCAGACTCATGGTGTGTGACCGTGGACAAGTTCAGCACTTCTTCCTACCTCAGTCTCCTGCCCTGTGGCCAGGGAGCAGGGCAGTGTGCCGCAGAGTCCTTGGAAGCTTGAGGCTGCCCGCTGCCCATCACACAGTCGAGGACAAACACTCCTGAGGCCACAGCCTGAGCAGGACCCGCTAGCCCTTAAGGGGAATCCCATCTGCCACAGGGAAACAGACAGGACTGCATATGCTGAGCCTCACTGCCAGTCACTGTGGACTAGGAACACTTCCTTCCCAGCAGGTATTCCTCAAAAGTAACAGACAGAAGATGACCTGGGCCAGCACAGTGTTCTAGTGGGTAAAGTCTTCACCTTGAAGGCACTGGGATCCCATATGGGCGCCAATTCTAATCCTGGCAGTCCCACTTCCCATCCAGCTCCCTGCTTATGGCCTGGGAAAGCAGTCGAGTACGGCCCAAGGCCTTGGGACCCTGTAAGTACCCATGTGAGAGACCTGGAAGAAGTTCCTGGCTCCTGGCTCCAAATCGGTGCAGCACCGGCCGTTGTGGTCACTTGGGGAGTGAATCATCGGACAGAAGATCTTCCTCTCTGTCTCTCCTCCTCTCTGTATATCTGACTTTGCAATAAATATAAATAAATCTTAAAAAAAAAATAGAAGATGACTATGAGCAGGCTCAGGGTTCAGAGTGTGAGCAGAGTTAGTTTCAGGGTATGAGCAGGGTCAGGTCTCAAAAAAGTGTGAGTTGGGTCAGGGCTCAGGGTGTGAGCAGGGACAGGGCTCAGCGTGTGAACAGGCTCTGGGCTCAGGGTGTGAGCAGGCTCAGGGCTCAGTGTGTGAGCAGGCTCAGGGCTCAGTGTGTGAGCAGGCTCAGGGCTCAGGGTGTGAGCAGGCTCAGGGCTCAGGGTGTGAGCAGGGACAGGGCTCAGGGTGTGAGCAGGGACAGGGCTCAGGGTGTGAGCAGGCTCAGGGCTCAGGGTGTGAGCAGGCTCAGGGCTGGGGTGTGAGCAGGGACAGGGCTCAGGGTGTGAGCAGGCTCAGGGCTCAGTGTGTGAGCAGGGACAGGGCTCAGTGTGTGAGCAGGGTCAGGGCTCAGGGTGTGAGCAGGCTCAGGGCTCAGTGTGTGAGCAGGCTGAGGGCTCAGGGTGTGAGCAGGCTCAGGGCTCAGGGTGTGAGCAGGCTCAGGGCTCAGTGTTAGCAGGGACAAGGCTCGGGGTGTGAGCAGGCTCAGGGCTCGGGGTGTGAGCAGGCTCAGGGCTCAGGGTGTGAGCAGGCTCAGGGCTCAGTGTTAGCAGGGACAAGGCTCGGGGTGTGAGCAGGCTCAGGGCTCAGGGTGTGAGCAGGCTCAGGGCTCGGGGTGTGAGCAGGGACAGGGCTCAGGGTGTGAGCAGGCTCAGGGCTCAGTGTGTGAGCAGGGACAGGGCTCAGTGTGTGAGCAGGCTCAGGGCTCGGGGTGTGAGCAGGCTCAGGGCTCAGGGTGTGAGCAGGCTCAGGGCTCAGTGTTAGCAGGGACAAGGCTCGGGGTGTGAGCAGGCTCAGGGCTCAGGGTGTGAGCAGGCTCAGGGCTCGGGGTGTGAGCAGGAACAGCACTATGCTTTGCTAAGCTGCTCTCCTATCCCCCCTGCCCTGTGATCCTGTGAATAAAGCCGCCTGAGGAGAGAGGGTCGGGCAGAGAGCTACATGGAGCCATGTGTGAAGGGTTTGTTGGAGCAGGGCCTGTGGTGGGGGCCGGCGGCTGTCTGTCTGATAGGGATCTTTAGCTGTCCTGCCCCCCTAGAGCGCCAAGAACCAGGCCCTGGAGGACAGGGGAGGGGGACACCTCCTTTCTTCCTCACCCCCATTCCCATGGCTTCTGGGAGCTGAGTGAGCGTGGGCTCCCAGCTGGTTTGGGGGCCTGAGGGTCCCTTAGGAGGGACTGCAGACATTCCTGGGGGCTCAAGTAATGGGGCTGGACTGGCCAAGAGGTCCCCATCTGCCAGAAACCACCTCATCGGCACCCACCCTGTGCTGCAGGCTCCCCCCTCTTCCTAGTAGGTGTGGTCAGCTTGGCTGACTGACCAACTGCCCAGGAGGCCCAGACCCCAGGGCTGTGCGCAGGCTATCCACCAGGAGCCTGTAAGCTTCTGGGGCATTTCCTCAGCCCCTCTGCCCTTCACAGGGTCGGGGGGGATGGGGAGGCTCTGTTGACTGAGCCCCCACCACACACTCATTCCTTCCTTATTCCCAGGCAGGATGCTGCGGTTAAAACACCTGCATCTGGTTTCTGCTGATCTCTTAGGAACTCTGAGCTGGGACCCAAGAATGCACCCACAGGGGAGGGAGGAGGTGGCAGGGGGCTGGTGGGGAGGGCACAGCCACCCCAGAATTCACAAGGATTGGAGCCATTCTTCCAGGCCTGCCCTGTATACTTAAACTCTGGGCTCTGAGGGGCAGAGGGAGGGGCCAGGCCCTCTGGCAAGTTGAACTCCAGATGTGGTCAGGGTTGGAGGCCTGGCAGGTGTACCCCCCACCTCGTGGTGGGGAGGGACACAGGGAAGAGGACCTGGCCTGGCTTGAAAGGCAGTCCCAAAAGGTGAGACTGAGCCTCCAGGCCTAGGACTCTGGCTACAGCGCCTGCTTTCCTGCCCAGCCCTTCCTGCCCACCCCTCCCACCAGCCAGCCCCTGGCGCTACCCCTGAGCCTTCTGGGACCCACTCCAGGCCAGAACCCAGCCTGGAGGTGGCACAGAGGCAGGGAGTAGCTCAGACAGGAAATGGATGGCTTCCAGGGTTCTGCCTCCAGGCCTTTGTTCACACTGCTCCCTGGACAAGAATACCATCTTCTACTTCCGCTCCCCCTTCCATGTTCCTCCTTCATTCTGGCCCTTTTAGGTCTTTGGGGACCCCAGAGATGCTCATTGCTGCCTCCCTTCTCCCAACTACACCTGAATCCCCCTCAAGGGTGCAACGCTGTGGGGGGCTGGGCTGGGCTCTGGGGAGGTGGGATCGGGTGATCTCCCAGCATGCACACGATGGCGGGGGTGGTGACCTCCGGATATGCACACAGCTGGCCTGATGCACATGTTCCTCCTCTTGTCTAACTCTTCCTGCCACCACCCGCCCCCGCCCACTGCAGGCCTCCCTGACCTGGTCCCAGACCCCAACTACGTGCAGGCGTCCACGTACGTGCAGAGAGCACACCTGTACTCGCTGCGCTGCGCCGCTGAAGAGAAGTGTCTGGCCAGGTAAGGCAATGGAGGATGCAGTCTCCACAAGTGCATGTCCCAACCAGGTGGGCCACAGGCTGCACGACCTTGGGCAGCCCAGGGCCTTGGCCTCTTTGTCTCAGAGGGGAGCAAGTGTTCATCACTACACAGCTAGACTGGCAAGTGGAGCAGCTGGGACTGGTAGGTACATGTGGCTGCCAGTGTGAGGGCAGGCAGGGAATACACACCGGAGGGTCACACAACCAGCTGTGTTCTTTGTTGAGAAAAGCCTGACATAGGGACTGGCTCAATTAACTAATCCTCAGCCTTGCAGCATCAGCATCCCATATGGGCGCTGGTTCTAATCCCGGCAGCTCCACTTCCCTTCCAGCTCCCTGCCTGTGGCCTGGGAAAGCAGTCAAGGACAGCCCAAAGCCTTGGGACCCTGCACCAGTGTTGTGGAGACTCGGAAGAGGTTCCCAGCTTTGGATTAGCTTAGCTCTAGCCATGGTGGTCATTTGGGGGAGTGAATCAGTGGATGGAAGATCTTTCTCTTTGTCTCTCCTACTCTGTAAATCTGCCTTTCTGATTTAAAAAAAAAAATCTTAAAAAAGAAAGAAAAATCTGACTTAGAGAAAGAAGCAGCATGTGTAACTGAGCAGGGTGATTGGACCCACTCAGAGGCTGGTCACCTGCAGGTGGCCTGGACGGCTTGCACAGTGCAGTCTGTGTCGGGCTGCCCCCGCGGGTCCATAGCCAAGGCCTGGCTCTGAGGCTGGGCTTTTTCCCACGGTGAGCCTCAGGCAGGGCGCCATGAGCACAGACACGGCTCAGACACAGACAGATTCCCAGACGTGGCCGGCCTTATGCCCTGGCAGACGGGAGCCTGGGGCCTGCTGCCAGACATCCTTCCCGAAGCTAATCCACCATGGCCACCTTCCACTGCTGGTCTCGGGTCCCAGACCCTCCTGACTGCCAGAGACACGCCCCTGAAGCTAGCCACGACAGCTGTCCCTGGTCAGCCGTGGGAGGGAGGTGCAGCTCAGTAGCCCTTCTGTCCCAGTGTGTGTGTCTCTGTGTGTGTGTGTCTCTGTGTGTGTGTCTGTGTGTCTGTGTCTGTTTGGCAGCTCTGTTTGGGACTGAGGACTTGGGCGGTGTGCTGTGAGCAGGCAGTCCACACGAGGCCTGTACTTCCTGGACGGAAATGGGCAGATGGCCCCGGGGAACTGTGCTGGTAGGGCTCACAGGTGATGGGACAATCAGAAATCAGAATGGACTCCCCAGAGGGTGGAGGCTAGCTGAGCTCTGGAGGCCTGGGTCAGGCTGCCTGGGCAGCAGCCGTGTGCGGTACGGAGAGAGCCACTTGTTTGGAGAACAAGACTCTGGTGCTGGAATGGCAAAGGCTGCAGCTCCCCAACTACATGAGTATCTCCCGTCTGAACCCCCAGCACTGCCTATGCCCCCGAGGCCACCGACTATGATGTGCGGGTGCTGCTGCGCTTCCCCCAGCGCGTGAAGAATCAGGGCACTGGGGACTTCCTCCCTAACCGGCCGAAGCACACCTGGGAGTGGCACAGCTGCCACCAGTGAGTGGGGCAGGGCCCCTCCTTCTCTGGGCATCGGGTAGGAGGGGTCCCCTCGTCCCCTGACAGGGGCAGCTTTGCAAAGGGGTTGGGGTCGGGGGAGTGTCGCACAGTGAAGGGGCATCCTGCAGGAGGGCAGAGGGAGAGGTGCTGCCTATTAAGGTCCCGGGGACCCAGGAGCCTAGGTGGCTGTGGCAGGGGCCCACAGAGACCCCTGGGGCTGTCCCCTCTGGGTGGAGACAGGCTCCCAGGCCCTCCTTCCTGCCTCTCCTCCGACCTCGGCCGGCAGACATTACCACAGCATGGACGAGTTCAGCCACTACGACCTGCTGGATGCAGCCACGGGCAAGAAGGTGGCCGAGGGCCACAAGGCGAGCTTCTGCCTGGAAGACAGCACCTGTGACTTCGGCAACCTCAAGCGCTATGCTTGCACCTCTCACACACAGGTTGGGGCTGGAACCGATCGGTCAAGGGGTCTGGGGTACAGGGTGTTGACACTGGGCCCCAGGCCAGGGGTGTAAGGCAGGCCAGCTGGGGCGGGTTGACCGCTCGACTCTCTCTTCTCTCCTGGCCTCAGGCTACCCTGGGGTCCTGTGGGGACAGCCAACCCTTCCTTCCCTCCTAGCCCAACCCCTCTTCTTGCCTCATCTCTGGGGCTGGCGCAGCAGCAGCTGGGTGGCACATGGTGCCTGTCATTTTCTCTTGCCTTACACCAAGACGCAGGGAGCAGTCACACAGGAGGGCAGGGGTTAGTCTCCTCCCCTAGTTTGGAGCTGTCGGCATCCAGTGAGGCTGAAGAACAAACTGAGTCAAGCTCATTCCACTGCCTAAAGCCCCTCACTTTGCTGGGCCTGCCCATCTCTTACACCCTACAACAAGATCAGAGCTCCCCCTTTCACTGTTAACCCCAAACGCCTAAGACTGGGGTGTGCCTGTCTGTATCCATGGGGGAAACCAGGTCCAGGTGAATCTATAGCCTTTCCATTCACATCCAATGCAGCCCACCTGGCCTGTCTGCCTTCTGGCCCCTCCCACCGGCCCCCCTCCTCCTCCCCGCCCCCTCGTTACCCCCTACTCAGTGGCCTGGGGGGGGGGGCAAATCCATGCCCAGCAGCTGCCCCTGACAGCTGGGAAAAGCAGGAGGAGGGGTGCAGATAGCGGGGACGGCTGGCTCGAAGCAGCCCCCAGCCTCCCTCTCCTCTCTTGGCCAGGGTCTGAGCCCAGGCTGCTACGACACCTACAACGCTGACATCGACTGCCAGTGGATCGACATCACCGATGTGCAACCTGGGAACTACATCCTCAAGGTGAGGCGCTGCTGTACCTGCTTTCCCTGCCCAGCACTCCCCACCCACACCCCCTGATCCTCAAGGCAGCTCCAGCCCCTGGGTGTGTGTCCCGTCACCTCCTGGCCCTGCCCACGGGCTGCCCCTCCACAACACTGCCTGTTTCCATGACGACCATGAGGGACTACCTTCAGATACCTGAGGCAGGAGGGCCTGCAGGCCATGTGGTCCATCCCTCCCCCCCCCCCACCTCCACCCCGAGGTCCTCTGGCATGGGACAGACCTTCTGTGCATCACTTAGAAAGGGACATGGGGTGAGCAGCAGCGGCTGCAGGCCTGGAGTTGGCAAGATCCACCTTGCCAGTGCATTCCCTGGGACAGGTTCCTACTTCCTGGGCTCTGAGCTCCCCATGCTGGTCAGGCTGACACAGGCCCTGCTCTTGGATGTGGAAGAGCAGATCTTGCAGTCTTGAACTCTGAACTGCCCTTTTCTCTCGTGTCCCCTTCTCTCGTGTCTGCCTCCATTCGCCTTCTCCTGCATGGCCATTCTGCATGCGTGTGTCTCTCAGTCTGGCAATCAGTCAACTGCCTTGCTAGTGACACGAGGCCTCCAGACTCACATCCCCCTCCCTGCTCTCTCCTGGGTGCAGGTGCACGTGAACCCCAAGTACATCGTCTTGGAGTCTGACTTCACCAACAACGTGGTGAGATGCAACATTCACTACACAGGCCGCTACGTCTCCACCACAAATTGTAAAATCGTCCAGTAAGAGGCCCCCAACCGCCCCCCCTTCCTGTCCTAATCCCTTACGACGAAGTCCCAGAATTCAATTGAACCTCTGGTCCACTGCTGGGGGACATGCAGTGAGAGCCCCCCAAACCTCTGTCCCCCAACTGTGGGCTCATTAATGGATGGTAGGGGAGGAGCATAAGCCTGTGAGCTGGCTTAGGGCTCAGTGTGTGAGCAGGCTCAGGGCTCAGGGTGTGAGCTGGGACAGGGCTCAGGGTGTGAGCTGGGACAGGTCTCAGGGTGTGAGCTGGGACAGAGCTCAGGGTGTGAGCAGGGACAGGGTTCAGGGTGTGAACAGGCTCAGGGCTCAGCATGTGAGCAGGCTCAGGGCTCAGGGTGTGAGCTGGGACAGGGCTCAGGGTGTAAGCAGGCTCAGGGCTCAGGGTGTGAGCAGGATCTGTGCCCATTTACAGGCCATCCTAGCCTTATCTGTCCTCAGAACACTCCCAGTGTTCCCAGGATTCTCTGCCCATTCTAGGGTCCCCCACTGTGCCTCCTCCTCCTGAACCCCTCCTTTCAGCTCCCCTGAGTGTGGCTGTGTCCCGATGGCCCAGTCACTCTAGGCCTCAGCATGTTCACCTCCTGCCCTGTGCCCGGGAGGCGTGGCTGCAGCCCTTCCTCTCCCAGGGCTGTGTGGGGCATCTACCATACCAGATCCCCAGGAGGTTGTGAATATGGAAGAAGAGGAGGAGGAAGAGCAAGGGGGCAGGCAGGAAACCCAGGGGTTTTCTGGCTGCTCAGGGCCTGCAACAGCCACCCTGCAGCTGCTGGGAAAAGGAGCCAGGACCAGTGTCCCCCACCCTCCCACTCCCCGGAGGCCCTCGGCAGGGCCAACGGGAGGAGCAGCAGCTGTGCCTCCTCCTGTCCGTCCCCAGGGGCCTGTGGGCAGTGGCTGGCGGCCCGGGTCCTTCCTCCCAGAGCTCTTTACATAAGTGTTTGGCCAGAACCAGGCCTCATTAGTATGTCCCAGTGACCCTGACCACAGGCGGGCAGGCAAGCTGGACCAACCGGACACAGAGTTCCCAGCAAGGACGCCTGTGGGCTTCCATCACGTTTTTGAGCAGGAAAAATAATAAGGAAGAATTTGTAAAGAATGTGCAGACAGTAGAGCAGTAGTTTTGCTAAAGGCCCCCATGCCTACCCCCACCCTGGGCTAGGGGCTGGGAGCGGGGTGAGGTGGGGTGGGGCGGGGGGAGGCATGGGGAGACCCTGACCTTGCAGCCAGTCCTTGACCTGTATCTTGTTTCTGCAGATCCTGATCCCCACAGGGACCGAAGGCCCATCTCTCCCCATCCCAGGAGGTCTCCACGAGGGGCCCAGCCCCCACCCCAGGTGGGGGTGGGGTAGTGAGAAGGCCACGCCTTCCTGCGGGCCTCAGGGAGTTGTGGTGGGCCCCTGAGGCCATGGGGCCTGTGCCAGCCAGGCGCCTCCTGCCCTCTGCAGCGTTGGGTTGGGTTTTTATTTTCTTTTGGTGTTATTTTTTTGTTTGTTTCTTTTATATTTGGACCACCGTGGAATGAGATTGCCTGGCCATGCTGAATAAAATGAGGGTTTTCTACTCTGGGGCCCTGTGTGTGGTCCTGGGTGGGCTCAGAGACCCTTCTCTCCTTTGGTCTGCAAAATGCGAGGACGGGACCCCCATCATCCAGAGAGACTCCCATCCCACAGCAGGGCCCTGGGGTAGCCAAGCGCATTTCCCTGGGGAAACAGACAGGAGGGGTGTACAGCAACCCCCACCCCACCATGCCCTAGCCCTCATCCACTCCTCATGCCTCCCAGCCTCACCACTGCTGCAGGCCAGGTCGGTCAGGGTCCAGGAGCCCTTAACCCTAACCCTGGGAGGGGCCCCATTCCAGGAAGCAGAGCGGGGTTGGGGATGGCAGAGCCTGCAACAAGGGCAGCATGAAGGAGCAGGGGTCAGCCAAAGCCACATGTTTCAGGGTACCCTGTGAAGTGGAGTTGTGGACCCAACTCCCAGAGGGCAAGAACCAAGAGCACAGGAGCAATGGAGGGGCTGTAGGGGCTGGGCCAAGCTGTCCCCTCCAGACCCAGGGCCCTTCCAGGGACACAGTCCCCAAGAACAACCCCGGGCCAGTGGCTACCTGCTGGCACGACCCTCTGAGATGAGATCTCTGGGGAGGGGCTTCCATCCGGGTACTGGCTGGAGAGGGTAAGACAGCCATAACATGCGGGTGGTGGTTGGGTTGCCACAGCAGCCCCCAGCCTCCTTGGCAGAGCCATCTCAATGGGGCTTCTGGGGGGTTGGCCAGGGTTGGGAGCTCCCCCAGACTCTCCTTGCCCTGCCTCAGCCATGCCGTGCCCCTTCCTCTGGCCCTGGGAGTGGCCTAATATCCCCCACCTGCTCAGAGTACCTCTCCCCCAACAGGCTGGGCAGAAAGCAAAGCCCAGAAAATGCCAGTGAGAGGAAGGATGAGGAAGGGTGCTGACTCCTGGGTTTTGAAGCAAAAACATTTCAACTTTATATGAAAGCTAATTCCAGTGCTTATTGGGGCTAGGAGGCAGTTTTTAAATAATTACATATTTCATTTGAAAGTCAAAGAGAAGGGCCTGGTGCAATAGCATAGCGGCTAAGGTCCTCGCCTTGAAAGGGCCGGGATCCCATATGGGCGCCGGTTCAAATCCCAGCAGCCCCGCTTCCCATCCAGCTCCCTGCTTGTGGCCTGGGAAAGCAATTGAGGATGGCCCAAAGCTTTGGGACCCTGCACCCACGTGGGAGACTCAGAAGAAGCTTCTGGCTCCTGGCTCTGGATTGGCTCAACTCTGGCTGTTGCGCTCACTTGGGGAGTGAACCATCCGACAGAAGATCTTCCTCTCTGTCTCTCCTCCTCTCTGTGTATCTGCCTTTCCAATAAAAATTTTAAAAATCTTTAAAAAAAAAATCAGAGTGAACAAGAAAGCTCCCATCCATTGGTCCACTCCCCCAAATATCCACAATAGTCCGGGCGGGGCCAGGAGCCTAGAACTCCATCCAAGTCTCCCACCACATGGGTGGCAGGGGTCCAGCAACTTGGGCTGCCTTCTGGGGTGCAAATCAGCCTGGAGCTAGATGGAAGCTGAGCAGGGACTCGAATCGGCATCCATGTATGGGACGCTAATAACACTGCAGATGGTGGCTTTAGCCAGCACGTCACAGCGCCGGCCTCCCAAATTTCCAAGACAATCTGAGCGTGAGTTCTCCCAGGCTGAAATGGAAGGTCATTGTAGGATGATTTCAACTACCCAGGCAGACACCGTGGGAGGGTGGGGGACAATGACACCCTCCCCCTGCATCTGACAAAGCCTCACTTGGTGTGGATGTCCAATGTCACTCCTGGCTCTCCTGGGGGGTGGGGACGGGCTCAGGGACCACTCCCTGCTCAAGGTGACGCACCACAGCCCTCTGCATCCCAGAACTGGGCCAGGCCCGCCCTGGAACTAGACAACTGGATGTGTCTGGGCTGTGGGGACACCGTCCCCACTTCATGGGAGTCTCGTGTGTGTGTGTGCGCGCATGCACGTGTGTGTGTGTCCACAACCAAAAAACACAATAAAAAGCCGAGGCCCAGAGCGAGGTATGGCTGCTTGCCTGATTTGCACAGCTGATAATTTGTCATTTCTTTGCCTCTTAGGGGGAGCTGTTGACCTTGCTTTGCTCTGCTCTCAGAGGTCACTCTCCCTGCCTTCCCCCTGCGGGGCGGCTCCAGAACATCCAAGCAAATAAGCCAAAAATCCCACTGTGTGTTTGCTCCAGGCTCAGCGCAGGGGGCCTGCCCTCGCTGAAGGTCCCTGCATGTGGCGGCCACCAGGGGGAGTAGGATGGGACTGTTGCAGGAATAGCGGCTGGTCCAGCAGGGGTGACGTCAGCTTGGTTCAGATCCAAGGCCTCTCTTGGCGTTTCTCAGAGGTGGGTCCAGGGGCAGTTTACATGCAGCGAGAGCCTGAGACGCAGCCATCTGCCCACCCCACGGCGCACATGTGGAACACCACCCCCTCCAAGTACACGACACTGATGTCCCCGCCCCCGTGCCGGGCTCCTCTTGCTGTCCCTAGGCTAATCTCATGCCTTTTGTCCTTTCTCCGCGTGCGTTTCTTAAGTTCATTCCATGATATACGGATGAGTCAGTTGTAGAGCTTGCTAGGATATGTTGATGCTGTAACTCACCCACACGGTGTTCAATGAAAAGACCAAGCTAGCATTCTCATTGCCTCAGATACTGGTGAGAACATCTGAAATTTATTCTTGGTTATTTAAAAATATATATATATATATTTATTTATTTATTTATATCTGAAAGGCAGAGCTACAGAAAGGAGACAGAGAAAGAGTAATCTTTTACCCGCTGGTTCACTCCCCAAATATCCCCACAGCCAGAGGTAGGCTGGTCTGAAGCCAGGAGCCAGGAGCTTCATCCAGATCTCGCATGTGTGGGTGCGAGGGCCCCGGGGCTTGAGCTATTTACCACTGCTTTCCCAGGTGCATTAGCAGGGAGCTGAATGCGAAACGGAGCAGCCGGGATTCGAACTAGTGCTCAGATGGAGTGCTGGTGCTGCGGCTTGAGGCTTAGCCTACTGTGACACAGTGCTGGCCCCTCACATTGGCTTTCATCTTCATCTCCCTAATGACTACCAGTGTGCTTGTTGGCCGTCCCAGCCCCGGCCTGAGGACGCCGGGGCCCAAGTCCTTGGCCCCATGTAACTGCCCTGTCGCCACCGAGTTGGGAGAGAGAGGATTCAGCCCCATCCTGCTATGCTTTGTGTTTGCAAATATTTTCCCACTGCTTGCTGCCTTTCCCATGGTCTTGCTGGAAGTGCCTTGTAGAAAAGGTTTTGATTTCACGGAAAGCCACTTTACCAGCATTTCCTTTTCCTCTTTATTTACGGAGTGTGCCTTTTGTCCTGAGGAATCTCTACCCAGGGGCCAGCGTGTGACACAGCAGGTAAGTCTGCCACCTGGGAGGCTGGCATCTGTATTGTGTCCTG